GTAGGCTAAAATGGAGATTGACTTGAGCTGGGGAGTTCAAGGCTACAGTGAGACATGATTGCACCACTGCACTCCAGCCTGGGTGACCAAGCAAGATTCTGTCTTGAAAGCAATTAAAAGTAAATACTTTAGACTTTATAGGCCAGATGTCTCTATCACAGCTCTTCAACTCTGTCATCATCCTGTAAAAGCAGCCATAGCCAGCATGTAAATGAGGGCACATGGCTGTGTTCCAATAAAGCTTTATTTACAAAGATGAGTAATAGGCTGGAATAGGCCTACAGTCCATAGTTTGCCAATTTCTGGCCTAAATTAACTAAAAGTCAAATACACTTCTTAAACTATTTAACAATACAGTGACTACCAATATTATTTTTAATAATTATCTCTTCTTTCCCCTTTCCCCGCTTAGGACATTAAATGAGCAATCATGATTGCCTTTTCTTATTTTCAGATCTTTTGTGTCTTACACCATGACGGTTATTGCGATAAATTTTATTGTGCCGTTGACAGTGATGTTTTACTGCTATTACCATGTCACACTATCCATTAAACATCACGCTACCAGTGACTGCACTGAGTCCCTCAACAGAGAATGGTCAGATCAGATAGATGTAACAAAGGTAAGAGGCCAAAATCCTTGAAAAATTGTTGTCATGGAGCTTTTACCCACTCATAGTTGAAAGAGTCCCTGGGACCACCGCAGTCTTCTCTCCCTCATCTCCATCTCTCACTTCCCAGATCTTTCTTCTGTGTTTGCCTCCTTATTTTTTATTTTTTTGAAATGGAGTTTCATTCTTATTGTCTAGGCTAGAGTTCAATGGCACGATCTCAACTCACTGCAACCTCTGCCTCCCTGGTTCGAGTGATTCTCCTGCCTCAGCCTTCCGAGTAGCTGGGATTAGAGACGCCCACCGCCATGCCCAGCTAAATTTTTTGTATTTTTAGTAGAGATGGTGTTTTACCATGTTGGCCAGGCTGGTCTTGAACTCCTGACCTCAGGTGATCCGCCCACCTCAGCCTTGCAAAGTGCTGGGATTACAGGGGTGAGCCACTGCACCTGGCCACTTGCCTTCTTATTTCTGAATCATATGCTGTTTGCTCTTTTGGATATATTTTTGGCCATCATCTCTTGATTTCCTACTGTGGATGATGAGGATTTATTCTCTTATACCACCCACCTGCCCAACTCCTCCTCCATACCTTTCTCCCTCCTTATCTGTCAGTATAATGTTAACAATATTTGGTTAGATAAAGAGGCTCTTTCTCTGCTGTCAGTATGTTTAAACACACCACAGATGTGATGAACCTTATCCTCTTCTTGGAGCCATTCTCCTGGTTCCCTGGGGCCTCCTGCTCTGCTTTGAACTGATTGCTCCTGACGACCGCTGCTCAGAAAGCTAACATCTTCAGGTCTCCCTTCATCATCAGCTCAGGATGCCTTCACCTCCTTCCAGGGTCAAATCCCCTGTTTTCTGGAATGCTTGTCTTCCTTTTTTTTCCCTTCTTGTTCTTAGTTTATTTCCTCTGATTTGGTGGAGCACATTCTTCAATTAATTCCTGAAGTTATGGGAGAGGTAATATTTTTAAGACTTTGCATGATTGAAATTGTCTTAATTTTACTATCATATTGACTGACAGTTTGCCAGGTCTAGAATTCTAGGTGCAAAAGTAATATTCAAAGAGTTTTGAAGGTATCACTCTGCGTCTCCTAGCTTCCAGTATTGCTGCTACAAAGGCTGATGGCATTCTGGTGGTTGATGCTCTGTGGTGATCTGTGGGTTTTCTCTGGAAGCTTATAGGATCTTCTCTATGTCTCTAGTTTTATGAAAATGTATACTGATGCACCTTGGTATGAGTATTTATCCAGCACTGGGTACTTGGTGAGTTCTTTCAGTGTGGAGACTCCCATCTTGCTCTTCTAGGAGATTTCTCTTGTGATTTCTCTGATGATTCCAGTCCCTCTGGTTTTTTTCTCTTCTCTTTCCCTGGAATTCCTTTTATTTAGATATTTAATTTGCTAGATTTATCTTCTAATTTTCTTAAATTTTCTCTCCTATATTGTCTATTTTTGTTTGTCTCTTTTGTGGTGGTTGTTTGTTTCTTTTAGTTTCTACTTTCTGGGAGATTTGCTCAACCATATCTAGGTCTAGGATAAGTGTGAGGATAGTGAAGGCCAACCCTTGGGTGCAAAATTCAAGCAAGCTCCAAAAAACTCATTAATAAAAAAAAGTGGCTTAATCTAGTACTTAAAAAAATTAATGTAAAAATTATGTTGAACAAAATAGAAATTTTAAATAAAAACAGGATCTGACCCTGCACTTACATAATTCACCTGATTCACCTCCCCCTGATCCTAACCTGATAATATCATACAACCTTTCTATTACATTTTTAACATTTTACTCTCACTTTTACAGATAGGGTAAAAACCATTAAAAATAATTCCAACTTTTATTTTAAGTTCAGGGGTATATGTGCAGGATGTGTAGGTTTGTTACATAGGTAAATGTGTGCCATGGTGGTTTGCTGCCCAGATCATCCAGGTATTAAGCCGATCCATCCATTAGCTGTTCTTCCTGATCCTCTCCCTCCTTCCGCCCTCTACCCTCTGACAGGCCCCAGTGTGCATTGCTTCCGCCGTGTGTCCATGTGTTCTCATCATTTAGCTCCCACTTATAAGGACAATATATGGTGTTTGGTTTTCTGTTCCTGCATTAGTTTGATAATGGCCTCCAGCTCCATTGATGTCCCTGCAAAGGACATGATCTCATTCCTTTTTATGGCTGCATTGTACCACATTTTCTTTATCCAGTCTACCATTGATGAGAATTTAGGTTAATTTCATGTCATGTCCATGATTGCTATTTTGAATAGTGCTTCAATAAACATACATCTGCATGTGTCTTTATAATAGAATGATTTATATTCCTTTGGGTATATACTCAGTAAAAGAATTGCTGGGACAAATGGTATTTCTGTCTCCAGGTCTTTGAGGAATTGCCACACACAATCTTCCACAATGATTGAACTAAGTTATACTCCCACCAAGAGTGTAAAAGTGTTTTTTTCACAATCTCCCCAGCATCTGTTATTTTTTGACTTTTTATTAATAGTCATTCTGACTGGTATGAGATGGTATCTCATTGTGGTTTTGATTTGCATTTCTCTAATGATCAGTGATGAGCTTTTTTTTTTTTCATGTTTGTTGGCTGCATGTATGTCTTCTGTTAAGAAATGCCTGTTCATGTCCCTTGCCCACTTTGTAATGGGGTTGCTTGTTTTTTTCTTATAAATTTGCTTAAGTTCCTTGTAGATGCTGGATATTAGACCTTTGTCAGATACACAGATTGCAAAAATTTTTTCCCATTCTGTAGGCTGTCTGTTTACTCTGTTTATAGTTTCTTTTGCTGTGCAGAAGCTCTTTAGTTTAATTAGATCCTATTTGTCAATTTTTGCTTCTGTTGCAATTGCTTTTGGCATCTTCATCATGAAATCTTTGCCTGTGCCTATGACCTGAATGGTATTGCCTGGGTTCTCTTCTAGAGTTAAAAACCATTTTTGTTGATAAAACAGCTATTTTATACTCTATTCTCTCCTTGTTTTATGGATGTATATCTTCTGTTATTTCTGTGACATTATGTATATATTTATATTTCCTTCTGTTTACCACATATTTTTGTTTCCCCTGAGTTCTTGCACTGTTTTTTTTTTTTCTTTGCCTGTCAATGTAAAAGTTTTCTTAAGGTCTGGTGGTCAATGATTGTTCCTTCATACTTAAGAGTGATGCATTAAAAATGTTCATTGTAAGCATGGATATGCTTATTAGTGAGATGTTTCTTTTGGGGGAATTTCTAATTGTCTCTGTAGTTATTATTATGACCATTGTCATCATTATTATTATTCTCTCACTGTGATTATCTGCTAGTCAAAAAAAATTTTTTTTTCTAACTTCCAAACTCAACCTGGAAACAAATACAATCCTATCTTGAGCTCAGTGAATTCTAGCACAGGCAATTTCTGCTGGATGTGTATTATACATGACGCAGATAATTTTGTAAAGGAGCTCTTTTGTATCTTGTTTAAAAGGAAAAATTGTCTTTTTCATGTTGCTCCCTCCTGATAGCCTGTTAAAATGATGGAATGGAGATTTGGGGGAATTTCTAACTGTCCAGGTAACTGTATCTCTAGGTATTTTATTCTGGGCAGAATTCCTTTCATGTTCCTAGGTGGGAGGTACAAGTCTATCTCCAAGTTTCTTCACAAGGAGGGGGCAGCACACATATACCTCTTTTTAACACAGTACTGAAGTGCTTAGCTGAACCTGGTGTCCCTGTGTCCTGAGTTTCCCAAATTAGCCTCCTTCTTCTTCTTCTTCTTCTTTTTTTTTTTTTTTAAATACTGAGCTCTGGAAGTCTTCCAGGGAGGGGAAGGGGAAGTTACTGGGTAGACTGAGTGGACAGGCAGAAAGATTTGGATGTCTAACTACTTTATTTCTTTTTTTTTTTTTTTTTTTTTGAGACAGAGTCTCGCTCTGTGGCCCAGGCTGGAATGCAGTGAGGCAATCTCTGCTCACTGCAAGCTCCGCCTCCCGGGTTCACGCCATTCTCCTGCCTCAGCCTCCTGAGTAGCTGGGACTACAGGCACCTGCCACCAAGCCTGGCTAATTTTTTGTATTTTTTTTTTTTTAGTAGAGACGGGGTTTCACTGTGTTAGCCAGGATGGTCTTGATCTCCTGACCTCGTGATCCGCCCGCCTCGGCCTCCCAAAGTGCTGGGATTACAGGCCTGAGCCACCGCGCCCGGCGACTTTGTAGATTTCAACCAGTTCTATTTTGAGCTCCATGTGCACCCCCACATCCAGAGTTTTCTGGTATCCTTTGTTACTAGAATATCCGTTGCTCTGTAGCATGGTGGTCTGTATCTGGTTTTCCCTCATAGTTGGCTCTTTTTAGCATTTATTTATTTACTTATTTATAAAATTATTCTCATGTTCCTTACATAATTTGCCACTTGTCCAATGGTCATTGTTTCCATTAAAAAATATGTATTGTCTAATCTCTGATTCTCTGTCCTTAAGGGTTTTTTGTCTTCTTTAACCTCTGTTCCATAATTTTAGCAGAAAACCTAGGGAAGAAATATAAAAATATAATTTTTTCATTTAAACAAGATGCAAGAGATCTCCTTTACAAAATTATCTGCATTGTGTATAATATATATCCAGTAGAAATGGCCTGTGTTAGAATTCACTGAGCTCAAGATAGGATTGTATTTGTTTGCAAATTGAGTTTAGAAAGTTAGAAAGTTACTTTTTTTAGTTTAGCAGATAATCCCAGTAAGAACAAATAATAATGATGGTAATAATAATAATAATAGCCATGCCAGCAGTTCATAGCATAATGATGTGAAGTGGGGTGGGGTGGGTTTTTATCTGTCTTTCATCAAAGTCAGCTGTTGTACTCTCCCCTAGCATACAGAAAGAGGGCATTGTTTTATGTGTGTGTACCATTCTTAAAAGCAATATTATATATTCTTGATATACCCATTTCACAAGGTCTTATTATCATAGGCGACTTCAGGCACTTGAACAAACAACATCAAAGGCAAAAAAAACTCAGCTATTTCCTTTATATCATCAACAACATAAACATATTCACATTCCAACCTAGATAGCTTTTTACCCTACTTTAGATATATTAATATTTAAATATTTTAGATATTGGGCTTGGTGAATATCTATTTCTTTTCAGATGTCTGTGATCATGATCTGCATGTTTCTGGTGGCATGGTCCCCTTATTCCATCGTGTGCTTATGGGCTTCTTTTGGTGACCCAAAGAAGATTCCTTCCCCCATGGCCATCATAGCTCCACTGTTTGCAAAATCTTCTACATTCTATAACCCCTGCATTTACGTGGTTGCTAATAAAAAGTAAGTAATGTCTAAAATGCTTGCAATACAAAATAAAACTGATATAAAAAGAATGTTAAGATTTCTTGGGAGAGAAGTGACAGAAACCCACTTCAATCTAGCATAAAGGTCATTTGCCTCATGTGACTGGAGCAGCATCTAGACCCTTAAATGCCCAGAGCTCCAGATTTACGACAGACTCTTCCCACACAGTGGCAGAGATGACTGTGGGCAACCCAAGACCCAAGTTCTACCAGCTAAGCATCCCCAAATACCAACTGCATCTCACATGGCTCTCTGGCAGAAAAGCCCCTGGGATGTCAGTGGTCAGCTTAGTTCAAATGGTTACTCCCACCCCAAATAGTGGTTTCCAAAGAAAAGAGTGATTTTATTACTGGAAAATGGACAGGGCAACGTTGGGCTCACTTAGTGGGTAGCATAGATGTATATTTACAAGAAATAAGACATATCATTCAAATGCAAGGGAAAAGTTTAGTCCCAACATAAAAGGCATCTGGATACTAGAGAATTCTTACCTCCTCTCTTTTTTGGGTTTCTCAGCAAAATGTTCCCTTCCTGCCTCCTCAATGAAGTTTAGACGGAGTCTCTATCCAGGCTGGAGTGCAGTGGCGTGATCTCAGCTCACTGCAACCTCCGCCTATGGGTTCAAGCAATTCCCTGCCTCAGCCTCCAGAGTAGCTGGGATTATAGTTGCCCACCACCACGCCCGGATAATTTTTGTAGTTTTAGTAGAGATGGGGTTTCACCATCTTGGCCAGACTCGTCTTGAACTCCTGACCTTGTGATCCACCCATCTCGGCCTCCCGAAGTGCTGGGATTACAGGCGTGCGCCACCACACCCAGCTGAGGTCAGGTAATTTTATCCTGGAATGACAATGTTTGGAAAAGCAGCTTTAGTTACAGGTATATGAAGAAACATAAAATTTTACAGCCCAAACAGACCACGTAAGAAGAATGATGAACACATTTTAAATTCAGAATCTGCTGGTAGTTCTTTTGGAAAATTCTTGCTGGGAAGAACAGATGGATGAAACACACATTGTTAGTTCAAATAAACAACTCATGGCACTTGACATTGGTAGCATCCTTTTAAATACATACAATTATTTACTTTTATTAGATGTCTTCAATCTATAGAATCAATGATGCAAAATTGGCCTTTAACTGTACCATATACCTTATATATTTATAAAGTTTCTCAACAGGAAATCTATAGAATCAATAGTGCAAAATGGGTTTTAACTCTACCATATACTTTATATATTTATAAAGGTTCTCAACAGGAGATGTTAAGTTGGAGGCAGAAATTTATCCAGAGATGTAAATTGGCAGTAGTGGCATCTTAGCCATACTTGAAAATGCTTTAGAAGTTACAAATCATTATGAGTTAATGCCAAATTTTCCTTTTTTTATCGTAGGTTTCGGAGGGCGATGCTTGCCATGTTCAAATGTCAGACTCACCAAACAATGCCTGTGACAAGTATTTTACCGATGGATGTATCTCAAAACCCACTGGCTTCAGGAAGAATCTGAAATAAGAGAAAAGGACACACTGTCAAAACACTTTAGTTTTTTGACAATGCTTTTATTTTAAATATGAGCCCATTTAGATCAAGTGCAGACATGGATCATTGTCCTATGAGACTGTAAGTTCCTCAAGCACAGCTCATGCTTCTTCTCTTTGTGCACTGGCTGCTGCAGTGCATGCTTCTCTGTGTCCTGATATGTCAACTTATTGCTCATCTCCCTTGATGAATTAGGCATCTGAGGTTAACGTCCCCTTTCTTTCTCCCTATTATGGCATGCATTACACTGTACTGATGACCTTTAACTTGCCTGGCTCCTCCATTAGAATAGAAGCAGTCACTAATTTAATGTTAGAATAAATGAGTAAAAACAATAATAATGAAAAATTCTAGATAATTACTGAAATGAGTTGTTGGATGTTCCCAGTTAGAATAGAAAGCATTTTTGGCATTTCAACATTTTAACATTTAAATCAATTAACTTATGTTATTAAACAAAAATAATCAAATGAACATTAAACACAATTTTTTCTAAATAAAATGTTAAGTTGATGCATATATATTATATAGCATTATAACCCCTGTGCATATTTTGATGTTTTCTGCAATTTTGATTACCATTTTTCTGCATATTTATTCCATATATTTGCCACCAGAGTTAACTTCAATCAGAGTGGAGATTTTTATATGTTTGTTCTTTAATGTATCCTTAGCACATATACCTAATTCTGTCTGGCATGTAGTAGGCACTCAATAAATGTTTTTTCAATGTCAAATGAGTTTGTAGACTCACATATTTGTCATTCTAAATGACTGTTAAGCATAGAGGCGGGCGGATCACGAGGTCAGGAGATCGAGACCATCCTGGCTAACACGGTGAAACCCCGTCTCTACTAAAAAATACAAAAAACTAGCCAGGTGAGGTGGCGGGCGCCTGTAGTCCCAGCTACTGGGGAGGCTGAGGCAGGAGAATGGCATGAACCCGGGAGGCGGAGCTTGCAGTGAGCTATCCGGCCACTGCACTCCAGCCTGGGAGACAGAGCAAGACTCTGTCTCAAAAAAAAAAAAAAAAAAGGGGCGGGGTCAAGCCTGTAATCCAGCACTTGGGAGCCGAGACGGCGGATCACTAGTCAGGAGATCGAGACATCCTGGCTACACGGTGAACCGTCTTATAAAAAAAAAAAACTAGCGGCGAGGGGGGCGCCTGAATCCAGCTACTCGGAGGCTGAGACAGGAGAAGGCCGACCGGAGGGAGCTTGCAGTGAGCTGAGATCCGCACTGCACCCAGCTGGGCAGAGCGAACTCGTCTCAAAAAAAAAAAAAAAAAAAAAAAGCATAGTACAATATACCATTGTTTAAATAGTAGACATTTAAATTGCTTTCCAGTTTTTAGTTTCATGGATGTACCACTGAAAATATTTCAGTGCAAATATATTTTTTCTTTGGGAGAAGTTATTCTATTTGAGGGTTTCTTTTCAGACTAGAAATACTGGATACAAATACAAAAACACTATTATTGTTGCTAACTTGCTTTCTGGAAAGATTGAATTAGTTTACACTGATACTGGCAGTGTCTAAGTGGGCTTTTCATATTCCTGCTAATAGTGCTGTATATATTTAAATTATGAGTTGTATACTCTAACTTAAATTCATTTTATTTCACATTTCTTTAACTGCTAGTGAGGCTGTGTATCTTTGCATATTGTATTTTTTAATCTCTATTTTTTCTACCTGTAAATTGTCTCTTTAGCACCTTTGGCTGCATATTAAGTAAAATCTAGGTATTAGTTTTATGTGTACAGTCCCCTATGTATATGGAAAGGTAAACTGTTACAGTAATCTTCTACGTTATCTCCTCACTCTCTGACTTTCCCACTGCAATCAATTAATACAATACAACCGCAATCAATACAACCTCGTAGCTAATCTTTTAAAAATAAAGTTCCAATGCCCAAATTCTTTAGCTAAAAACCTTTACTCGCCCACCAAGTAAGTATAAACCCCTCAGCTGGATTTTCAAGGCCCTCTTTAACATACTCCGAAAGGGACTTTTCAGCTTTTTGTCTTTCTTCATGGCCAAATTAAAATGTCTAGTGTTCCCAGAAAGTTCTGAATGCTTTGTGTCACTAGCTCTTTGCTCATCTTGTCTACCATAGCTGAGACTTTTTACAGGGAAAGCATAATGACATCTGCGCCCAAAGTCCCAGAGCCATTAAAAGGCCAGGACAACTTCTGTAATAATGTCTAGAAAAATGGACTCAGAGTTCCAATTTGCAAGGCCGTGAACTCATTTCCAGCGATAAGCAAGAAGCAACTTTGCCTCAAATATAAAGGACTTCAACAGTATCGAGTAATTATATTTCAGTGCTATATTTTTTATTGTCTAATTTGCTTATATGATAAAACTAGGAAGACCGGGCTTTGGTTACACAATTCCCTCTGACCTCTTAGTTTTCTACTTTCTGATGTTTTTATCTTTAAACAGCGTTTCTGTACTCAATTTGGCATTTCTTGCTTCCATGTAAGTCATGTCATCCATGAAATTAATAATTCAAAAACCCTTGGTTGTTTGGTGATCTGAGATTTACCCATCCTATTTCTTCTCCCTCTTGTGCTTAAAAACTCAGGGCCACCAACTCTCACTGCATCTCCAGCACTGGGAAACCTTAGGGTTGTTTTTAAATCCCTTCTTCATCGCTACATCTAATCAATCATTTCTCTCTCCTGGATGTTTCCTGAAGCTGCATTATCCTAACTATTACCAGCACAGCAGTCAAGGCTGTAGCGTGATGGCTGCTCACCTGGACTATAACCACAGACATCCACCAGAAGCCTCCTCCTTTCTTCTTGCTTGCGCTATCTAAACCTTTTCTCCCCACAGCCGCCAGAGAATTCTTCCTAAAAGGATAAGCAGATATGTCACTCCCAAGCCTAACTTTTATTGCTCTCATTGCCTATAGGCTGACAGTAAGCTCTCCATAGGGAATCTAAGGGTTTCCTTGATAACTTCATCCCCACTTACCTCTCCAGCTTTATCTTCTTTAACTTCCCGCCTCAAAATCTTATGCCTGAGCAACAAGAAGTGCTTGAAATTTTCTGAGGACAATACACTGTTTCTCACTTCCCTCCCTTTGTTCCCACTATTCCCTTTGCTTGCAATGCGACTTTCTGGATTTTCCCATAATACACCCTCATGCACCCTGTAAAAGGCAGCCAGGCACCACCCACCCTAGAAAGTCTTGCTTGACTAACACAGGCTGGGTTTGATGCTCTTTTCTGGTGCTGCTTTAGTAGTCTGTTCCTCTCTTTATCGTGTGCATTCCTTATGTGTAACAACTGTTTTATTCCTCTTTGTACCCCTCGGTGCTCAGCAGAGAATAAGTACTCAGTAAATATTTGATGAACAAACGAGTTGTGCCGAATCTGAAAACCTGCAGTATTTTATTTTAATTGAGCACAGTTTTTCAGACTCTAGAGTTTTTATATAAATTATATTAGTTTTAAATAACATTTTCCGTAATATGCTTATTTTTATAGAATTAATTTTCTTTTAAAAAAGTTTTTAGTTAAAGAGGATGGTTACAAGCAGCCACTAAGAAGGTTAAATGACATATATTTATTACTTACAGCCTTGATTGTCCCTGTGGATTCTCCACTTTATGGGTGTGGAGATAGTCTTAAATTTACGTTTAATTTTTTTTTTCTGATAGAGCCTAGTATAGCTGAAAGAATTAGAGTTGATCTTCAAATATGGCTTTGATGCCGATAACTTGGGAAACTATTGAACAGAGATAGCTGCCTGCATTAAAAATAAACGGCTGGGATAAACCTTCCACACACTGAGATGACCCGGAAGAGTCTCAGAACACGTTCTCATTGGAGAACTTAGTCCTGCCACATTAGTAGTGGGTGGAAGCATTTTCCCTATAAAATCTATGTAACAGACTTGTTTTACTTTACTTTTAGAGATAGCCAGTATGTGGCAACATCCATAATTCTTTTCTAAATCATTTTTATGTCATGTGCTTCTATTTTTAAAACTAAATTTTGTAAAACTGAATTAGTTATGCATGCTGGCAAACACCAAATGTAAAGCATTTTATAATGTTATAACATGTAAATAATCTACAGAATTTTCTTGCATCTGCCAAGACTGAATTATTTTTAACATTAAGTATATTTTTAAGGTGTAGTGGCAAGTACATCCAGAGGAAAGGGATTTAATAGGCATTTCCTTGCAAATCTAGATATGGGTAACTATTGAAATTGCTTGTCATGTGTTTGATTTTCATTTTCCTTAGAATGTGTTACTTTGCTGAAACCGTATTCAAAGGCTGGGTCAATTGATCTCCTGCAAGATACACTTGAAGGTTAAGTAACTACAGATCTCAGCTAATCCCGTGTAATCTGCTGTTACTAAATGGCTGTTTGTATTCCAGGCACACCAGTTTCTGAATGCTTAGGATTGGGTTTTTACCTTTTGTTTAAATAACCTCTAAAAGGAGCAATGCATCTCTTTGCATGTCTGTGCATTGTCCTTAACGTTTTGGAAGGAGTGGGCTGTTCATGTCCTTCACAGTGCACCTGTGATTATCACGGCAGAAATGACGGCTCAGGATCAAGGTATGCTCCTCTGCTTGCTACTAAATGTTCTCATTATTTTGACAAAAAGGACCCAAACAAGAAAGCCTACTTTTGAAAGCAAATGTTTGAGGATCAGAAATCGCAGAAGAGAATGTTTAGTGTCCGTAAGCTCTAACGTAATTGTGTTAATACTGGTCACCTACTCCTTCACTGTTTTCATTTCGAGCAGTTTAACTCTTAAAGGTCTCTCAAGTTACCGGAAATTTCTAAACACATTCTGTGTTCCAAAATTTTTATCATGCTTATGTTTGCAAAATGTTGCTTGAGATCAAACCATTTAAAGGTGCGTGGCCAGCTCAGCCCTTGATTATAGAAAGGCTGAGGGCAGGCTGAACAGGAGCTGTGGGACATGCTCAGATCCTTTGCTTTCGAGACTCTCCACTTCCTTTTAGGATTATTCATGTCAGTTGAGTGGCAGAAAGAAAGATCTCAAGAGTGAAGTTAGAGAGGTTGATAGTTAGAATTTTTCCATTTTAAGCTGATGGAATTTACAAAATAAGGAAGATTGAAAAAGATACTGTCTGTTGCAGACACTGTAGGATCTCACAGAAGTTATTCAATCTCTAGGTTGCTTTAGCATCTACCTGTGTAGCGAGAATACTTATTTGCTTATAATGTGCATGAGGCCTTTTAGATATGTTAAATGGAAAACAGAACTCTTGCTAGCTAAACACAGTAGAACTTGAATTTCTTTTTATTTTTTCGAGACAGAGTCTCACACTGTCGCCTGGGCTGGAGTGCAGTGGTGTGATCTCGGCTCACTGCAACCTCCACCTCCCTGGTTCAAGTGATTCTCCTGCCTCACCCTCCCGATTAGCTGGGATAACAGGCATCTGACACCACGCCCTGCAATTTTTTTTGTATTTTTAGTAGAGACGGAGTTTCACCATGTTGGCCAGGCTGCTCTCGAACTCCTGACCTCAGGTAATTCGCCTGCCTCAGCCTCCCAAAGTGTTGGGATTACAGGCATGAGTCACCGCGCCTGGCCTACAACTTGAATTTTTTTTTTTTTTGAGAGAGTATTTAATAATAAAATCAGATTATTCGTGACTTGGTTGAAGTAAACAGTGTCTCAGACAAAATAATTTGTTAAAAGAGTTGCCCAATTTATGTCTTATAACTTTAAACAAATAAATAATAATAACTAAGACATATTTGTGAAAAGCTTATCTTGTTATTGTATAAACTTTAAGCAATTCTTGGTATTTTTTGACATATTCACCAGGTGGTTAAAGACGATGAAGGGAATGTAGCAAGTTAAAGGCCTACTTGTCCAGGGATGTGCAGCAGTGAAGGATCAGGCCAGGGTACTTTTGAGAAACTATCACAGAAATGTTTCCTTCTTTGTGGTGACCCCATTATTGATGGATTTTATAAAAATTATAGAATATTAGGCCTGGCAAGAAACAATCTAGTTCAACCCCTTGTCAGTTTATAAGTGAAGAAACTAAACTGTATGGAGACCAAAAGTCTTGTCCTAGATCATGTAATTGTGTTAGTAACTAAGTTCATAAAGATGCTAAACCTTTCAGTGTACAAACTAGGCTTTCTTCTATGATAGCATGCTGAAATACTTATTTTATTTATTTATTTTTTTAAGACAGAGTCTTGTTTTGTCGGCCAGGCTGGAGTGCAGTGGCACAATCTCGGCTCACTGCAACCTCCGTCTCCTGGACTCAAGCAATTCTCCTTCCTCAGCCTCCCATGGAGCTGGGATTACAGGCATGTGCCACCATGCCCGGCTAGTTTTTGCATTTTTAGTAGAGACGGGATTTCACCATGTTGGCCAGGCTGTTCTCAAACTCCTGACCTCAGGTAATCTGCCCACCTCGGCCTCCCAAAGTGCTGGGATTACAGGCATGAGCCACCGCGCCCGGCCAATACTTTCTTAATGAGTAGAAACTGCTACCATTCTGGTATAAAGTAGCCCTGAAATCTGTGATACAAAATAGCGACGAAAAGTAAGAGATATCCCTACGGGATTTCAAAGATTCCATGAGGTCTTCTTCTGAAGTTATAGAAATGAGACAACACTACCACTACCATACAACCACTACATTGCAGCTTTATGCTGCTTATGTCTGTTTACATTATGAGCTGGTTTTTCAAATCCACTTATTTAATGTGATGTGTTTCACTAAAGGGTTATTTTATTGTAATTATTTACTGAATTTATAGTGTGTTATAATTTAGATGATACTTTGCAAAACTTCTTATTATTTTTTGTAATACAGATGAGTATCTCATAGGAGATAAAAAAGTCATTTTCCAGGCTAAAATGAATCTAAATTCTCAGATTCCTCATAGTTTAAATTTACACATGGGACAGTGTTGTTCTTCTTTCTTTCTTTTCTTTTTTTTTTTTTTCTCTATTTTGAGATGGAGTCTCGGTCTGTCACCCAGGCTGGAGTGCAGTGGCATGATCTTGGCCCACTGCAACCTCTGCTTCCTAGGTTCAAGTGATTCTCCCACCTCAGCCTCCTGAGTAGCTGGGATTACAGGCACCTACCACCACGCCTGGCTAATTTTGTATTTTTAGTGGAGTCGGGGTTTCGCCATGTTGGCCAGGCTGATCTCGAACTTCTGACCTCAGGTGATCTGCCCACTTTGACCTCCCAAAGTGCTGGGATTACAGCCATGAGCCACATTGCCCAGTGTTGTTTTTCTAAGCCTGTTTTATATGTGCCAAGAAACAAGATCAAAATGTGACTCGCTCAAGGTCAGCTCCTAGTTTCTGGTTTATTCCTTAGGCAGAAAGCAATGTGCAAGTCACGTTGTTAAAACAGAGCTCAACTTTAAACATGTACTGTGAACACTTTTTTTTCACCTAAATAAGTTATTCTCTTAAAAAGGATTGATTTATTATTTTAACAGGGGTTCTTTTAAAATGGGCCATTTCCTAAAGAGGTCCACTTTAAGTTGGAAAGAAGTGGTTTTGAAAGGTGGCTGTGAAACCCACTAGCTGGGTGGCCTTGGGAAGTTACTGAATGTTGTTGGGCCTCAGTTACTTTCCATGTAAAACCGAGGTTATTGACAGTAGCAGCAAATACCTACTGAGTACATATTATGTGCTAGGAAGTTGTAGAGTTTTACATCCATTGTAATTAATCATCCATAACAGTGCCGTATGGGAAAATTAGGTTGAGACACTGGTGAAGTGGTTTTCCATGGCCACAGAGGACGTGGCAGACCTTAGACCTTGGTTAGATTTGAACCAAGGCCCACCTTGGCCTCCCAAAGTGCTAGGATTACAGGCGTGAGCCACTGTCCAGCTGAAAATTGATACGTTTTTCAAATGAGAAGTAATTTTTTCAAATGGGTGTTGGAAAGTGAGTTTCCTCACATTGCTCATGTTGTGACACTAGGTTGGTGCTATGTAATGACATGGATATGAACGAGCTCCCTACGAACCTCCCTGTGGACACTGTGAAGCTTCGCATAGAGAAGACTGTCATCCGCAGAATCTCGGCGGAGGCCTTCTATTACCTGGTGGAGCTCCAGTATCTCTGGGTGACTTACAATTCCGTGGCCAGCATTGACCCCAGCAGCTTTTACAACCTGAAGCAACTGCATGAGTTGCGCTTGGATGGGAATTCCCTGGCTGCTTTCCCTTGGGCGTCTCTGCTGGACATGCCCCTTCTGAGGACCCTGGACTTGCACAATAACAAAATAACCAGTGTGCCAAATGAGGCACTCAGGTATCTGAAGAACCTTGCCTACTTGGATTTATCAAGCAACAGACTCACCACGTTGCCACCAGATTTCCTGGAGAGCTGGTCTCATTTAGTTACAACACCTTCTGGGGGCCTGGACCTTTCCCCAAGCAGGATTATTCTTGGTAAGCTCACGAGCCTCTGGGCTTTTCATCTATAGATACTTTGCTATGCATAGCTTTTGTTGTCCAGTCTTTTAAAATTTACTGGATTTGGCTTTTTACCCTGTAATTGCACTTTCAGTGGACCTAGGTCAAGTTACCTCTTTCCCCTGTGTAAGGTGAAAAGGCTGTGTGTATGTGCACGTATGTGTGTGTACATACATGGTGGAAAAGTGGAAGAGAACTTGAGTCATAAATGGAGAGAGGACCTCTTCTCTTAAAGAGCCTCCAACTGACAGACAGAATCCACCAACCTGCGTAGACTCTTGTGAGCACAGCATTGCTCCATACTCTGGTACCAGCTTCTGCTCAGTTGGCTTTTCAACTCTTCATTAGGTTCTTCAGGAGCAGGAGAGGGGAACTGGCATCTTTATGCGATAGCAGTGGCTTCATTAGTTAGGAAGAATAGCTTCTAAATTTCCATAATCTAAAAGGAAATGGTGGAAACATCAGTTATTTTACTGGCCCGAAATGGTTCACCTAACTGATTTGATCTCTTAGTTTAGCTGTGACTAGTTTTGGAATTTTGAACTTGGCCTTGTTTAGGTTCTATGTGTATTTCTCTGGGGTTCTTTTTTATTATTATTATTATACTTTATGTGCAGAACGTGTAGGTTTGTTACATAGGTATAAACGTGCCATGGTGGCTTGCTGTACCCATCAACCCGTCATCTACATTAGGTATTTCTCCTAATGCTCTCTCCCCTAGACCCCTACCCCCCAACAGGCCCCAGTGTATGATGTTCCCCTCCCTGTGTCCATGTGTTCTCATTGTTCAACTCCCACTTATGGGTAAGAACATGCAGTGTTTGGTTTTCTGTTTCTGTGTTAGTTTGCTGAGAATGATGGTTTCCACCTTCATCCATATCCCTGTAAAGGACATGAACTCATTGTTTTTTATGACTGGATAGTATTCCATGGTATATATGTGGCACATTTTCTTTATCCAGTCTATCACTGATGGGCATTTGGGTTGGTTCCAAGTCTTTGCTATTGTGAATAGTGCTACAATAAACATACGTGTGCATGTGTCTTTATAGTAGAATGATTTATAATCCTTTGGGTATATACCCAGTAATGGGATTGCTGGGTCAAATGGTATTTCTGGTTCTAGGTCCTTGAGGAATCGCCAGACTGTCTTCCACAATGATTGAACTAATTTACACTCCCACCAACAGTGTAAAAACATTCCTATTTCTCCACATCCTCTCCAGCATCTGTTGTTTCCTGACTTTTTAATGATTGCCATTCTAACTGGTGTGAGATGGTATCTCATTGTGGTGTTGATTTGCATTTCTCTAATAACCAGTGATGATGAGCTTTTTTCATATATTTGTTGGTTGTATAAATGTCTTCTTTTGAGAAGTGTCTGTTTATATCCTTTGCCCACTTTTTGATGGAGTTGTTTTTTTTTCTTGTAACTCTGTTTAAGTTCCTTGTAGATTCTGGATATTATTAGCTCTTTGTCAGATGAATAGATTGCAAACATTTTCTCCCATTCTGTTGATCACTTTGATGATCACTTTGATGATAGTTTCATCATTTGATGAATCACTATCATCATTTGATGATAGTGATTTGATGATAGTTTCATCAAAGTGATCACTTTTGATCACTTTGATAGCTTGTGATCACTTTGATAGCTTGTTGATCACTTTGATGATAGTTTCTTTTGCTGTGCAGAAGCTCTTTAGTTTAATTAGATTCCATTTGTCAATTTTGGGTTTTGTTGCTATTGCTTTTTGGTGTTTCAGTCATGAAGTCTTTACCCATGCCTATGTCCTGAATGGTATTGCATAGGTTTTCTTCTAGATTTTTTATGGTTTTAGGTCTTACATTTAAGTCTTTAATCCATGTTCAGTTAATTTTTGTGTAAGGTATAAGGAAGGGGTCCAGTTTCAGTTTTCTGCATATGGCTAGCCAGTTTTCCCAACCACATTTATTAAATAGAAAATCCTTTCCCCATTGCTTGTTTTTGTCAGGCTTGTCAAAGATCAGATGGCTGTAGATGTGTGGTGTTATTTCTGAAGCCTCTATTCTGTTCCGTTGATCTATATCTCTGTTTTGGTACCAGTACCATGCTGTTTTGGTTACCGTAGCCTTGTAGTATATTTTGAAGTCAAGTAGCATGATGCCTCCAGTTTTGTTCTTTTTGCTTAGGACTGTCTTGGCTATATGGGCTCTTTTTTGGTCCCACATGAAATTTAAAGTAGTAGTTTTTTCTAATTCTTTGAAGAAAGTCAATGGTAGCTTGATGGGGATAGCACTGAATCTATAAATTACTTTGAGCAGTATGGCCATTTTCATGATATTGATTCTTCCTATCCATGAGCATGGAATGTTTTTCTATTTGTTTGTGTCTTCTTTTGTTTCCTTGAGCAGTGGTTTGTAGTTCTCCTTGAAGAGGTCCTTCACATCCCTTGTTAATTGTATTCCTAGGTATTTTATTCTCTTTTTAGCAATTGTGAATGGGAATTCACTCATGATTTGGCTCTCTATTTGTCTATTATTGGTGTATAGAAATGCTTGTGATTTTTGCACATTGATTTTGTATCCTGAGAGTTTGCTGAAGTTGCTTATCAGCTTTGGCTAAGATGATGGGGTTTTCTAAATATACAATCATGTCATATGCAGAGACAATTCGACTTCCTCTCTTTCTATTTGGGTACCCTTTATTTCTTTTTCTTGCCTGATTACCCTGGCCAGAACTTCCAATACTGTGTTGAACAGGAGTGGTGAGAGAGGGCATCCTTGTCTTGTGCCGGTTTTCAGAGGGACTGCTTCCAGCTTTTGACCGTTTAGTATGATATTGACTGTGGGTTTGTCATAAAAACTCCTATTATTTTGAGATACGTTCCATCAATACCTAGTTTATTGAGCGTTTTTAGCATGAAAGGGTGTTGAATTTTATTGAAGGCCTTTTCTGCAACTATTGAGATAATCATGTGGTTTTTGTTATTGGTTCTGTTTAAGTGATGGATTACGTTTATTGATTTGCATATGTTGAACCAGCCTTGCATTCCAGGGATGAAGCCAACTTGATCGTGGTGGATAAGCTTTTTGATGCGCTGCTGGATTTGATTTGCCAGTATTTTACTGAGGATTTTCATGTCAATGTTCATCAGCAATATTGGCCTGAAATTTTCTTTTTTTGTTGTGTCTCTGCCAGGTTTTGGTATCAGGATGATGCTGGCCTCATAAAATGAGTTCCTCTTTTTCTATTGTTTCAAATGGTTTCAGAAGGAATAGCACCAGCTCCTCTTTGTACCTCTGGTAGAATTCAGCTGTGAATCTATCTGGTCCTGAGCTGTTTTTGGTTGGTAGGCTATTTAATTACTGCCTCAATTTCAGAACTTGTTATTTGTCTATTCAGGGATTCAACTTCGTACTGGTTTAGTATTGGGAGGGTGTATGTGTCCAGGAATTTATCAATTTCTTCTACATTTTCTAGTTTATTTGTGTAGAGGTGTTTATAGTATTCTTTGATGGTAGTTTGTATTTCTTTGAGATCAGTGGTTGTATCTTCTATCATTTTTTATTAAGTCTATTTGAGTCTTCTCTCTTTTCTTCTTTATTAGTCTTGCTAGCTGTCTATTTTGTTAATCTTTTTTTTTTTTTTTTTAAAGCTCCTGGATTCACTGGTTTTTTTGAAGGGTTTTTTGGGTCTGTATCTCCTTCAGTTCTGCTCTGATCTTGGTTATTTCTTGTCTTCTGCTAGTTTTTGAATTTGTTTGCTCTTGCTTCACTAGTTCTTTTAATTGTGATGTTAGGGTGTTGATTTTAGATCTTTCTGACTTTCTCCTGTGGGAATTTCATGCTTTAAATTTCCCTCTAAACACTGCTTTGGCTGTGTCCCAGAGATTCTGGTACATTGTGTCTTTGTTCTCATTGGTTTCAAAGAACTTATTTATTTCTGACTTAATTTCGTTATTTACCCAGTGGTCATTCAGGAGAAGGTTGTTCAGTTTCCATGTAGTTGTGCAGTTTTGAGTGAGTTTCATAATCCTTAGTTCTTTTTTTTTTTTTGAGACAGAGTCTCGCACTGTCACCTGGGCTAGAGTGCGATGGCACTATCTTGGCTCACTGCAACTTTCACCTCCCAGGTTCAAGCAGTTCTCCTGCCTCAGCCTCCCAAGTAGTTGGGATTACAGGTGCCCACCACCACATCCAGCACATTTTTTGTATTTTTAGTAGAGATGGGTTTTCACTATATTGGCCTGGCTGGTCTTGAACTCCTGATCTTGTGATCCTCCTACCTCAGGCTCCCAAAGTGCTGGGATTACAGATGGGAGCCACTGTGCCCAGCCAATCCTGAGTTCTAATTTGATTGTACTGTGGTCTGAGAGACTGTTTGTTATGATTTCTGTTCTTTTGCATTTGCTGAGGAGTGTTTTTACTTCCAATTATGTTGTCAATTTTAGAATAAGTGCAATGTGGTGCTGAGAAGAATGTGTATTCTGTTGATTTGGGGTGGAGAGTTCTGTAGATGTCTATTAGGTCTGCTTGGTCCAGAGCCGAGTTCAAGTTCTGAATATCCTTGTTAATTTTCTGTCTTGTTGATCTGCCTAATATTGACAGTGGAATGTTAAAGTCTCCCACTATTATTGTGTGGGAGTCTAAGTCTCTTTGTAGATCTCTAAGAACTTGCTTTATGAATCTAGGTGCTCCTGTATTGGGTGTATGTATAATTAGGATACTTAGCTCTTCTTGTTGCATTGATCCTTTTACCATTACGTAATGGGCTTCTTTTGCCTCTTTTGATCTTTGTTGGTTTCAAGTCTGTTTTATCGGAGACTAGGATTGCATCCTCCTCCTTCTTCTTCTTCTTCTTCTTCTTCTTCTTCTTCTTCTTCTTCTTCTTCTTCTTCTTCTTCTTCTTCTTCTTCTTCTTCTTCTTCTTCCTTCTTCTTCCTTCTTCTTCCTCTTCTTCTTCTTCTTTTTTTCGCTTTCCATTTGCTTGGTAAATATTCCTCCATCCCTTTATTTTGAGCCTATGTGTGTCTTTGCACATGAGATGGGTATCCTGAATACAGCACACAAATAGGTCTTGATTCTTTATCCAATTTGCCAGTCTGTGTCTTTTAATTGGGGGCATTTAGCCCATTTATGTTTAAGGTTAATATTGTTATGTGTGAATTTGATCCTGTCATTATGATGCTAGCTGGTTATTTTGCCTGTTAGTTGATGCAGTCTCTTCATGATGTTGATGATCTTTACAATTTGGCATGTTTTTGCAGTGGCTGGTACCGGTTGTTCCTTTTCATATTTAGTGCTTCCTTCAGGAGCTCTTGAAAGGCAGGCTTGGTGGTGACAAAGTCTCTCAGCATTTGCTTGTCTGTAAAGGATTTTATTTCTCTTTTGCTTATGAAGCTTAGTTTGGCTGGATATGAAATTTTGGGTTGAAAATTCTTTTCTTCAAGAATGTTG